ATAATTTACAATTTTATCTAATAAGTATTTGAAAATGTTGCACAATCGAACCACATAAAACATTTTTGTACACACATCCACCCGCTTACGGAAATGCCTACACAGCATTCATAAAATATGGCTCAGAGAAAATGGTGTCAAAATTGGAAACAAGTTTGAAAATTGAGTAAATTCCCAATACAGTCCTTTGTACCAAATTGTTTTCCCACATCAGTTCTCAATAAGTTTTAGTTACCTACGTGGTCCTATATAATTGAGATTTATTCTCAAGATGGTCCTTCGTAAATAATGTTACTTAAATGAGGATTAATTGAGGGTATTTTGGTATTTTTTATCCGCTAAATTTAGAATTAATTCTTAAAATGATCATTTACAATGAAGTGCTTTCCCAAAATGGTTTTTTCTAATTAAAGATGTGTATTTGATTTGAAATTTAAAAGATTTTTCTAAATTTTAAATAATTTATGAATTATTTATAGTCAATTTATTTTTTCAATTTTACATTTAGTTATACAGAAATAACTGTTTCGAGAATATACTTTAAATTTGGATGATCAAAATACTAAAATATATTCCAATTAATCATCATTTGAGTAACATTATTTACGAAAGATTATCTTGGAAATAAATCTTAATTATAAAGGACCATGTAGGTGATTAAAACTTATTGAGGACTGAACTGGAAAAAAAATCATTGAAAATTTACTCAAGTGAAAATTACACTTGAAAATTACAAAAGATCACTTTCAAAATTTACTCTTGAAAGTTGTAACATCAAAAGCATAACTCAAAAAAAAAAATAGTGTCACATAATTGTGACGTTATTTTAGGTGTCCAAAAGTGATTTTGATGGCACCATTTGTTCAACCCTCGTGCTATATGTTCAAAGACGAAGCTATCCCTAGAGTTGGCAAAGGTCAAAATTACGACCTCACGACAAAGGTTAGAATCGGGTTTCATCATTGGGACAATATGTTTAAATTCTTTTTAATTAGTAGTGGTCGAGTTTTGATTTTATGCAATTAAAATTGAAAAACTTGGACTATTTATCAAATATAATCGATATTAAATATTGATAAAAGAAATTAAATTGATTTTATATGATATTTTGTAATTTAAAAAATTTATTTTATCTAATTAATATATCATATACGGAGTTATTATTTATTTAGTTATAGATCAAATGTTAAAATAATTGACTGTCAAAGATTAAATCAAACTAGAAAATACTCTCGATGGAGGCAGTATGAAAAAACAAATTATAAATAATTATTTGAACCGGACTTGAGGACAACCGTAGCGGACAACGGGTTGGGGGACTAGACCGGTCGAATAAAAAACCGGACCCCAATAGTTCGAACTAATTCCTCAAAAATCTCAGAGAAAATCTCGATCGACCCGGATTGGCTTGAAAATGTTCAAAAAAAACCCCGACTCGACTGTCACATAGGGCGTGTTTGGGAACAACTTTAGAAGTTAGCGTTTTGAAAAGACTATCTAAATGCAACGTTTAGCGTCAACATTTTTTCAAATTAATTCACATCGTTTTAATTTTATCTAAAACATTAATGCTAATCAAAAACGTTATTTTCAAATGGGTCGATCGACTCTTTGACCGGTCCAGATTTAAAATCATTGCTTCTTCTTTTTTTTTTGGGTCTTAAACGTGAGTAGTAACAGAAAAACCAAACATTTATGGCACGTTTGGTAACGTAAGTTTCGTGGAAAGACAGACCATTATTTATGTTTATTACCGGGCCCGTACTAGCCAAGTGGGTGGGGTTCGGCTCAAAGAAGCAATCGAGTTTATTAATACTTCGTAATAAGGAAAAGTTACGAAAGTTTAGCTATGTTTTTGGTTTAATCAACTCTATTTTTACGAAAGTTTTGACAGAAATTCACTGCTAGTGTCTTGGCACATTTGGTAAGTTTCTAGTGTTTTACAATATACTTGGATTAAGAATATTGTCATTTGTCTCCCTTTGGCAACTTATATTAAGTTAAATTTTAGTTAGACTGCCATCATGGTAGTGGAGAAAAAAAAATATGGTCGAAAGAAAGGAGAATAATGATCGAAAAGAGAAGAAGAACGAGCATAAAGTATATAGATAAGAGACACCGTTATTTTTTCCAAAATAAGAGCGCAATGCCAATATGTAGTATCATAAAATATAGTGAGGCACCATTATACAATGTTATAATGTCACAATACAAATTCTTATTTAAAAAATAAATGTTATGTTTTAATCATAAATGAGGTGATTTCTTCTAAATGTAAAGAGATATACTCTGTATTTAAATATGGTGATTAAATAAATTAATTAAAATTGTTTACTCTCAAATTACAACAGAGTAAAATGCTAAAGCCAATTAGACAATGATGCCCACTCAACCGCCAAAATGGCCACTTTTGCATGTCATTTCATAATTGACTTATTCGTGTCGGTTCGATACGAATAGTAGATATAATCTCCTCGATAGAATTGGTCTAGGTGTGAGTTTACAAGTTTTTAAATTGAACAAAGTAGTCTAATTTCAAAAGAGATTGGCTAATGTTACACTAATATTTATTGGCATCAACTTAATCAGTTCAATAGGGATGCTTATCATGTTGCATTTATAAAATTGATTATTCTTATTGCCTTAACCTAGCCCCCTCACTTTGAAATTTAATGCGGCCGAAATGGCGATTGGGGGTAAGGGGCAGGGGGCAAAGGGTGGGAAGAGTTAAGAACTTGTACAATGGCAAGTAAAAATGGAATGTCACACAATGACATGGAATATTTCAGCCAATCAAAACTAGTCCAGTCAGCGTGTGATAAATGAGTAGAGTGTTTGTCTTGCAGTAACAAGTCATTGTTTTTATGATTTCTTACATTTTTAAACATATTTAATTATTAAAAATTATTTTATTAATTTTTTTAAAAAAATAAATGAACTTCTTTTTTAAAAAAATCATCTTTCTTCTACAAAAAGAAACACAGTGGTAGGCGTGGCAATGTCAAAGCCACGCCATTGCCAAGGCTCTTAGAACATCCACAGTGGTAACACCTCTCATTAGATACTCAACTGTGGGCTCTATTTTAAAAATATTATTATGGCATCTTTTTGAACATCTAAATATTTTAATGGTGACACCTCGTTGAGATGCCTTAGGTGAATCCTACTCACATACAGCAATATTTTTTATTATTTTTTTAATTTTTAATTTTTATGTTATATATAAGAGTGTTAAATATGGAGTAATAAATTTTTAATTAAACTAATTTTTTTCGAAAAAATATATAAATAATTAAAAATATTATTAATGACTTTTTTTGCTAAATATTTTGATTAAAAAAATTAAAGACATGTTGGTATTACTAAAAACAAAATAGGGTGTCATATTTTTATAGAGTATTTATTTATTTATTCAATTTTTTGTGCAGATCAAACTCAATCAAATGAAACACAACTTCAAACAAATTTTTCATGGTATCACTACAACTTAAAAAAAATGAAAAGAAAAAAATTTTGCGAAAATGGTTTGTTTAAAAATATTGTAAAGATTCTTTTCCAAAAAAAAAGAGACAATAATGGTATAGAATTGTAGCATCACTACACGTTAAATAAATAAAAAGAAAAAAAAATATTGAAAAGAGAATGTATTATTAAAAAAAGACTTATTTTACAAAAAAAAAAAGAAAAAGAAAGAATGCACACATAATTTTGAATGCTAGCACCCGGTGCTCTATTGAGCATTTCTTACTTCTTTTTTTCTTTGAACATCTACTCTAAGCATCTATCTCCAATAGTAGCATCTATAAACATTTTTTCTCTCTCCTTTGAGCATCTCCTTTGGACTAACATTGGAGATGGCTCTTAGGAGGTTTTGGGAGACTTAAAAAACAATCAATTTTATTAAAATAACGCTATTAGGTCTGGTGGCGTGATTATTGTAAATACAGAGTAGTAATTAGTATCATTTTAGACTTGCCTTTGACCTTTATGCTAAATAATTTATATTTAGTTAATAACTACGGAGTACAAATTGATTATTTTAACACTTGTCACCAATGTCATATAATGACACTAATTGCACCCCCAATTAGATTGACATTTCATTCAAATTCAGCTTCTTGTTTGCTCACCCCCGATTGCACCTCAATTAGATTGACATTTTAGTCAAAATTTTAACTAAAATGCTAACATAATTAGGAGGTGGATTTTGGGAAACTCGGGTGTGCATGAGTTGGAAAGTAGGCTGAGGTGAATATTTTAGAGAGTTAGGGGATAAGAATGAGTTAATAGTCATTTTGGTCCCTTTAAGTTTACTCATGACTTAATTCGGTCTCAGTAAGTTTATTTGGATCAAACTAGTCCATATATATAGACAATGTGAATCAAGTTAGCCATTCGAATATAATTTCTCCTCAAATTCTGAGTTATCACTTAATTGACGCAAGAGCAATGACCTTGTGTATCAATTAACGTGTTAACTTATAATTTTAGAAAAATTTGCACTAAATAGGATTAGAACATTAGTAATTTTTTAATGTAGGGCTTAAACTTTTATATTTCCTAAATAGGACTTAATAATGTCTAATGGGAGAAATAATGTCCAGTGATGGCAGACATTTATTTGAATAATGACTAATGGAAAATGACCAATGGTCTCACATTGAGAAATAAAAACATATGATTCTATATTGAGAAAATTATTACGGAGTATGTTTTAGTCTATTATTTAGATAAATTATCCATAATTTTATAATATAAATTTTGCAAAAAAAAAACTAATTTGATTTACATAAACTAATTTAAGTAAATCAAACTTACAGGGACTAGGTTGACTCGTGCAGTTACTAGAACTAAAACAAGTATCAGCTCATATGAGAATCACTTTGAAATCAAAGACCAACCCTCAAGGATGAAATTTCCTTCAAACTTCCCCCACCAATAATTCCCATTCCTTTATTTTCCAATCCAATCCTATATATAAACCACCTCAACCACACTCCCAGTATTCCACACAATTCCATCTAACATTGACTTCAATTTAAATCATCCGGCGATTCAACTCATTACGACCCGACCCGTTCATAAAATGGGCTCGCCGGAGGTAGCCTCTGCACTCGACCTCATCAGACACCATCTTCTGGACGACGCCTTCTGTGAAGAAGATTTCTGCGAAACCCAAAGCTCCCAGTCGCCGTCTTCCTCTGTTTCTTTAACTTCCGACCAGAAAGACGAAACCTTTTTCGACTCTTTCTTCGATCCCGGTTTCTGCCCGGTTGATCTTGACTGTTTCGAGCTCGATTCGGAGCCGCCGCCGCAGGTTGTCTGCAAGAAACCTGGCCTGAGTGTGGAAGTTCCTCTGCCTCGGGTCAAGAATGCGAGGGTGACGGTGGTTCGAGATTCCGGCGGCGAGATGAGGCGATACAGGGGAGTGAGGCAGCGGCCGTGGGGGAAATTCGCGGCGGAGATCCGTGACCCGACCCGGAAGGGAGCTCGGGTCTGGCTGGGAACGTATGACACTGCGGTGGAGGCGGCGAGGGCTTACGACAGGGCGGCGTTTAGGATGAGAGGAAGCAAGGCGATCGTTAACTTCCCGCTTGAAGTTGATAATTACCGGGAAGGGAGCGAGCCGCAGGCGAGGAGCTGTGTCCGGAAAAGGAGGAGAGAGCCGGAGACCGGCGAGGACGCGGCGGAGCTAACGAATAAGGAGTTAAAAAGAGAAGAGTCCTCAGACACCCAGGCGATCGCCGGAGGTTTTGCCGCCGGCCCGTTAACGCCGTCGAGCTGGACGGCCGTTTGGGACTTCGGCAATGATTTGCATGAGATTTTCGATATTCCGCCACTATCCCCTTATTTAAATAATTATAGAATTAAAGTTTGAGAAATTGGAGAAATTAATTAATAATTTACGAAATAGGGGCACGCCTGACTGATAAATAAGTCCGACGTGAAATTTTATCTTTGATTTTTTTCCTAAAAAAGCTTTGACTCTGTTGTAAATAATCTTAATCCTTATTATTGAAATTTGTTCTTTTTAGCTTCTTCTTTAAACTAAAGGCTAAAGGTCCGTTTGCTATACGGAATTGACGGAATTGGAATTGAATTGGATTTGAAATTCCATGGGATTCGATTCCATATAATTGAATTCTGGCAATTCCAATTCATTTTTTGCACTATCAATTCAAAATCCACATAATTTTTGTGCTACCAAACACCAGAATTAGAATTGAAGTCTTCAATTTCAATTCCATGGTTTGAATTCCATGTATCAAACAGAGCCTTATTGAAATTGTCAATCGAAATTTGGAAGCACAATTGACAGGACTAGAGTGAAGTGCAGGGAACGAACTAGGGGTGAGGGTTCGTAGAGGGTAAGAATTGTCTCGAAAGTAAACATATGTAGACTTATAAGAATTTGTTCTCCTCAATTTATTCTTTTTTATTTATTATTTATTTTTATTAGAATTAAATTTTTTTAAGAAGTCATTCTTTATTATCAATGAAAGAACTCTTAATTACATAGTATTGTAAGAAATTCATAAATCTTAACATGAAAAATCAAACCAGATGAATACAACGAGAAATGCATTGCAAATATACTTGGGCAGTTGAGTGAATCAACTTTGTTTTATGTTTAGTGTGTTTGACTAAATTTATTTTAATTCAACTTATAGTAGAGTTTATGTAAAATTAAAAAATTAAATTTATATATTAAAAATATAATTTAAAAATATAATTTGATACTATGAATAGTAATTATTTAATTGTATTATGAATTTAAATTAATATATTTATTTTGAATGTAGTTTGAAATATTATACACCGTATAATATAATATTTGTTTATGATTTGTGAACAAATTATACAGGGCACCTACATAGGGAGTAAATAATTTTGGAATGAAGAGTGTATATCTTTTAATTGCATACTTTTCTTTTTACGTAATTAAAATTGTTTTCTATTTTAAAATAAGTCTTAATTACATCATTTTTATTTTATATAGAAAAAGTCAAACAGAAAACCAAAGTTTACTGAGGGAAGTAGTTTTTGACAAGTTCTTTTACAAAATGAAAAAAAGTCAACTGAAAGTGATTAATAATGGAAGTGGTTGAGTTTTATTAAGTAAATTTCATTTGAAATGATTGTAAAATATGACTAATACTCCGTATTTTCATCTAATTTCTTACTTCGACTATTAACGAAGTCAAATGGTTTGATATAATAACAAGCATGTCAAGCTTTTTGTAGTAAGCCCTACATACTTCTTAAACTTGCAAGATTTTGAAATTAAAAATAGATGCATGGACAATTAAATGATTGAAATTTATTTAAATAAGAGGACAAAACTTGAGCCATAAATTTTTGCAAATTTTATATCATGTACTCACTTGTTTGCTCGTCATTATCGAAATTTATATGACCTTAGCTTAGTCGGTGTTATGAACGTCTAAAGATCTAGGACTAGCTAGTAGCTGGGCCGTCTATTGGATTTTGGAGGACGTTTTGCTCTTGTCTTCGTGGGCAAATTCTTACGTGGTCTTAAGGTTTATGATTGTTTTATGAACCTTAATGCATTGATATCATAAAACAATTAGGTGTTTGGCAGAAACAAAATTATTTCTCCGTCTATGAAAAATGTAGGAAGATTCATATTTCACCTGTGGATTTTAAGACCACGGAAGAACAAGCCGGGGTTCAATTCTTTTTTCTTTTTGATAAAGCAACTACTTAGGCTACTTAGGGTTTTTAACACTAACATGACACGTTTTTTAGGGAGACATGGCACGTTTAGTTGAGGCAAAACTGGCAAACCTTGAGTGTATAAACAGACAATAAACACCCAATTAGCTGCTAAGTGTTTGGTTGGTATATGGAGGGAATTAGGCCTTGCTTGGAACAATGGTTTCGATTTGCGTTAGCGTTTTGGATATGATAAAATTTTAACGGTATAGATTAATTCTGAAGACGCGAATGCTAAAGGCTACAGTCACATAACTTTTTTAAGATGCTAACGTTAATCTCTAACGTTGTTGCCAAACGAGGCTTTAAAAAGCAACGAGAATGACCTTATTTCGATGTAGTGTTTCCAATAAAATTAATGTTTATGAAATAATCTTTTTAAAACGCAAAAGTTAATCACTAAATTTTTTTAGTCAAACACGAGCCATTTGGCTTCGTTTCTATCTTATCTTCGATTGGTTTTGTTTTTGAAATATATATTTGCACTAAATAACACTAAAATTTAAGTTATTTTCCTAAATAGTAATTAAATTGTTTTATTTCTTAAATAGCACTTAATAATATCCAGAAGGAGAAATAATGACTAGTGATGGAGAACATTTAATTGAATAATGACTAATGTATAATGACTAAAAATGCTGCATTGGGGAAAAAACGAATATGATGTTATTTAAGGAAAATCATTATGTTTTAGTGCTATGTAGATAAATTTCCCTTTGTTTTTTCAGAATTAACTAATTTTGGAGAATGAAATAATTTTTACTTTTAGAAATCAAACTCTAGATGCAGAACTAGAAAGTGGTTTCTTTTTGAATATTAAAAAGAAAATACAATACCACTGTTATTTTTGAAATCAAGTGGCGCCCCAGATCGAATTTTTGGTCAATTTACACTGAAATTAGGAGTCAACAAACTTTAATATACTCACCTTCTTTAGAAAAAGAATAAATTAAATAAAATTTAGTGATTAAAAAAAATTAGAGTAATTAATTTGAGCTTTTGATATATATAAATTTTACTTTAAAATTTTGTACCATTACTTAAATAAATTAAAATTTAAAATCAACTCAGTTAAACATCGTCATCTAAAACAAGATAATACTTATGGAACGGAGAGAATATATCGTTTTTTATCGTTTTGGAAAAGGTTTTTCCTTTATTTTTTTTATTGAGTACATATATAATAATTCAGAATATTTTTTCATATAAATACTCTATTTAGTTATAGACTTTTCACACTTTGTTTTCTATTTAATGAAAACCAAACGGATAATTTTTTGGAGGAAGTGTTACAAAAAGACAGCACATACAAATGCACAACTTGGCCAAGTTGTGATAAAGACCTCCCTGTTGACTATTTAAAATTAATATTACTCCGTACTGTTGTCTATTATTTGCCACAAAATTCCCTAACAATCTTCCCTCCAATCTTTATTTATTTTTAAATGAATTGATTCTAATATTCTAAAATGAATCTATTTGTAAATTTTACAAAACTGAAATGGTGTAAATATAGTTTAAGGGTCTGTTCGGTACACGGGATTGACGGAATTTAAATTAAATTGGAAGTGGAAATTCTATGGATTTGATTTGGATGAAATTGATGAAATCTCCAATTCCAATTCATTTTTGGCACTCCAATTCCAAATCCACATAATTTGAATTTCTTGTATCAAACGGAGACTAAACTTTCGTGTATCAAACGGAGACAAATGAACGCAAGAAGCAATTTCTAATAGAGAGTACTGCGTTCATCTTTGAAAGAATTTGACTCGCGAAAATAAAATAAAAAATAAAAATTTACAAAAAGAAAAAGAAAAATGTGTTGAAATTTATTTAGGGCCTGTTTGAGAATAACATTAGAGATTAGCGTTAGTGTTTTGGATAAAATTTTAACGGTGTAGATTACCTTGAAAACGCTAACGCTAATCGCTGCCCGTAGATAGCATTTTCAAAACGTAACGCTAATCGCTAACGTTATTCCCAAACAGATCCTTAGAAGAGAGAGAATAATGATACTTTCATACTCCGTATTTATTTTCTAAAAAAGAAAGAGGAACATATGAAGTAAATTTTTAGACATTCCAAAAAAAGAAAGTGTTAAAATATTTCGTAATTCTAAGGTCCACATGTAAAATAGGATCATTCTCACAATTTTCATTAACTGGTAGAAAGATTATTTCTTTTTTGTAAAAGGCCTGAATTTTTTTATGATATTAATACATTAAAATCCACAAAAACCACGTGAGAATTTGATAAGAAAGAGAGGGTTTGCATCGAATGAAAGATCTTAAAAGCCAATTAAATGCATATTTTCCATATTAAATAAGTGGAGGCTAATCACTCAAAAATTTGGGGGACGTGCATGAACCCAATCCAAGTTGTACCTAAGATAAATCTAGTGGTAATAGTGATGTGTGAGGGACAAAGTTTATGTACTTTTCATCAAATATCCCAATGATTGGTTGTCCCAAAAATATCAAGGGATTACTCCCACTTGTTTATGACTATTTCAATTTATAGAGGTACACCAAAATTGTATCAAGTTATACTTTAAAGAAATGTACCGATATTTTAATGGTTCACATTGATAAAAAATGTTAGTTCAATTAAAAAAATTTATACTGACATCTTTTGCTAATTTAAACCAACATACTAGTACAAAATGTCGGTGTACAAATTTTAGTGTACAAATAGCTTAATCCATTTCAATTTTCAACCCTCTTAAAATTATCCCAATGATTGGTTGTCCCAAAAATATCAAGGGATTACTCCCACTTCTTTATGACTATTTCAATTTATAGAGATACACCAAAATTGTATCTCAAGTTGTATTCCAAAGAAATGTATCGATATTTTAACGGTTCACATTGATAAAAAAAATTTAGTTCAATTAAAAAAATTTATACTGACATCTTTTGCTAATTTAAACTGATGGTGTAAATATCGCTGGGTGGGTTAACCGGGTTTGACCTGGACACACTCGACCCGTAATATAAAACACACAACAAGAACACAAAGTATGACCTAGACCGGGTAAATCTCCTCAGTCCAAACTATATTTCTTACTCTATCTCAAGAGTGAACTTTAGTGAGAGAAAAATTGGATCCCCTCCTCTATCAAATATCATCATATTTATAGAGGAGGATTTGTGACCTTCCCCTGTTCATCCATGGACAAAATAGGAAGCTTGTGGGAAGGTCACTGTAGATAATGGAAGCACTGTACAATCATAGAATTTAGCAACTATAAGCCAAGACATGTACTGTTCAATCAAAGACTATAGATGGATATTCTCAATCCAATCAGCCCTGCAAAGTGACAAACATCCCTTTCACTGTTTGTCTCGTGATGGACGAACGGCGGGGTGGTCCCTCGATCTTTGACGTGGTTCACCATGCCTGAGATACTGGACCAATGTTTGTCAAGTAAGATGATATGACCGGTCACCTTTT